GTTATTCCTCCTTCGTTGCTCTGTTATTCTTCCTTCGTTTTCTCTCCGACGTTTTCCAAAGATTCTTTAATCATCCGGCTATTTTCTCTCCGGCGTTTTCTCTCCGGCTATTTTCTCTCCGGCATCATTTGTCCTTATGGAGTTTGAAGTTGTATTCGGTCTGCTGCTCTGTTAAAAATATACATTTTCTCCCAATGAATCAAGTGCTTTTTAATCCACTTTGTTTTATGGTTAATTCTTATTTATTGATGATTTTTTTGCTTTCACATGTTTTAATGATTGATAACGGTGCACAACTATCATTCTAAGTTTATGTTTATCTAGTTCTGCATTTTATAATTCAATAGATACTGAAATGCTAGTTGTTGAATTGGATGCAATAACAACTGTTTGTTCTTGCACTTCTATATATTTTCGTTGCACAATTTTTAGATTTCTAAATTTGGACTAATATAATTTTTAGATTTGTAGATTTGCACTAACGATGAGTGCACATGTCATTGTCATGCAATAATTAACGTTTCTTGTTGCACTTTTACTTATTGTTGTTGCACAATGTTTAAGTTTGTGGTTTCCACTAATCTAATTGTCTTATTTGTGGATTTGCACCAATAATTAGTGCATCTAAATTGTCATGTAATGCATTTTACATGTGTATTATGAAATACATACATGATAGCCACCAATTTTTAGATAATAAAAGTAAATTTTCAATTAAATTTTTGATGCACTAGCTTACTTTGTTCTTGCACTTTTCATTAATTAGTTTTTAATTTTACTTTTATTTTTGGCAAATACAGGTGAAATCGGAAGGCAACATCATATAATATGGAACAAGTATGATGCTTTTGGAAGAAAAGTGCAGTTCATAATGATAAAAGTGCGGATATGGAAGTTTAGAAATTGTAATATATAGTAGTGCAATTTTTATATATTTGGTATGCACATGATAAAAGTACATTTTATTTTGTAAAAGAGTGACAACATTCATGGAGCGTAATATAATAATGCATTTTTGTATGTCTAAAATATACGCCTGAATATTTATATTCATTTTTAAAACATGTATGGATGTGCACAACATGTCTCAATTATATCGATGCATATTAACTCAATAAACATCTCATTTCTTCTGAGATTGAAAAATATCCAAATACTTAACTAAATTGATGTTGCATTATATTCCGAATAAAATTGCATTTATTCAATGTCAAAGTGCAAATATACAAAATTAGATGGATGAAGTACTATGTCTAGGAAGATGAACAAAATGCACATTAGATTATCATAAATGCACTTCTCTAAATCAAACATGTGTAAATAAATATTTAAATGAACTTAGATTAATTGCTATGCTCTTTATGATAATGCAAATATACTTATTGAATTGTGCACAATTAGTAAAAAGAATCCGCACAATTAATAAATTTTTAAAGCACTCGAAGACACATATATGTTATTGCAAAGATTCTATAAAAATGTGCATTATTTCCAAGTGCACGTTACTATTTTTTGTATTTTTAAATTGAGATCAAGTGTAACCTTCATGACTTCAGAATACAACTTGATTCGAGTAAAAGTGCAATTTCAAAATTAACTACTTTAAGTTTTTTTGAAAGGAAACTAATTTAAGTTAATATTTAAAATATTTTAATAGTGGAAAATACTATGGAAATCCAAACAAATCATCAATTAATGGAAAACAATACGTAGCCCAAAATTTTAGGATTTATGCACTTAGTTGACCGAAATATATGGAAATTTGAGTGGTGATGCATTAACTAACGTGATTAATTCACTAGAGTTTTTACAATTTTGTCCTTTATACTTTGACCGTTCCAATTGATGTTAGAATTGCCATTCAAAGTTTGTATTAATTACCAAGCAACCATCACTAATGACAATCGATCTTGGTCTTTGATTTCATACATTGGATGGTTAGATTTTATTCTTTTTTCCTCTCCTAAGACCCATATCTCACCGGAACCGCTCCATATATATATATATATATATATATATATATATATATATATATATATATATATAAACACATTTAGCTATTTGAGGGACAGATGAATACATACTTGGTCTATAAAATTGTTGGTCTATAAAAGAGATTTATTATTGGTATGAAAAAATATATAAAAATCAAATGCATTATTTTTGAATAGTCTGGTTCGGTACATTTCGGTTCTCAAAATCTAGAACCGGTCACATACCCGTTTTAAACGATACGATTTCGGTTTGGGATAAAAAATTATAAAACCGTTTAAATACCCGGTATTCGGTTCGGTACCACCGCGGCCCGGTTCGGTACCGGTTCAGCTCGGGTTTTATGCCCACCCCTTATTCCTATAAATAAATAAAAATGTGCCCCAAACCATTAAGAAATCATTATTATTAAAAGATGAAAATAAAAAAAATACTAATTATATTATAGTAATATAATACGTAGTAATAATAATTATAACAATAACATTAACAATAAACAACAATAACAATAAAATCAATGACATTTAGTTCATTTTTATATGAGGTTAAAATATACTAAACTCATTTTTGTACAAATCAAGTTTTCTTCCATCACCTAAATTTCATAAATATAAACAACCCAAATAAGTATGTACTCCTTATGCCCCAAAATGATTTGAAAAGCCAATTTTTCTTAGTCAATATAGTTTGATTTAAATTGTATTTTCATTCTTTTTTAATTACAACAATTTGATTTTCACGTTTACCAACACGCAATTTTGATCGTAATTATAATTTATTATTAAAATATTATAAATAAGAAATGCATAAAAATAATTTATATTTTTATAATTTATTATATAAATATTATAATTATAATTATAATTTATTACATAAAAATAAACATTATAAAATATTATAAATAAGAAATGCACATTAAGAGAAATTTAGTAATATTTTATACATAATAATTTAATTATATACGGAGAATATTACTAGTGATTGTATGCCTACTTGGTTTTGAGTGAAAATGTGGAGTTAGCTTCTCATCAAAAACGTGAAAATATTGATTAATCAGTGACGATGCTTAAATTTATTCAGCACATGACATGAGCTTAATTCGTGAAGGCTACTTGTGTGTAGATATGTAAAGACGGTATCAAACCTTTAAGAATAGCTTGAGTAACCGGTGATTTTGCAAGGGTACAACACAAATACACAATACAGATTGCTATATGAATTATTGCACACTAAACTTTCAAATTTTTATAATTTCGACACGGTTGTGCAAAATTTGATTTAATTCATTCACTTTTAAAAAATGAAAGGCACAAATTTATCCAATTTTTTCATAGAAAGATTTTTTTTTCAATTTGAATCAACCCAAGAAGAAAAATTATAATTTTATCTAAAAGGGTAAATCTACCATTTATGTGCTCACAATTTACAAATCAGCCCTCAAAGTATACCGAAACAGTCAATTAAGCCATCGAACTAAAGAAACACTAAGTCCGTCAACTATACAAAAATCGTCAAATTTGTAATTTAGACTGGTGATGCCCGGACGCCCGGTGATCTCTTGACGTGTCAATACAGCTGGGATACTTTTCTGTTTTTTTCCTCGATCTTTTTCTTATCCCCCCCCCTCCCGCCTTTCTTTATTTCTCCCTTTGTTCTTCTTCTCTAGGCTTCAGGTCATTCCACGCCATCCCATCCCCTCCACCTTCTTTCTTTCTTCTTATTCTTAAGCCCAGCTAGCTGCTAACCCCACCCCTCTCTTTTTCTTCTTCTTCGTCAGCGTGCCACACCGGCGACTACGAACCAGGTCGTGACGTCATGTCGGGGAGGAAGGACAAGTCGAAGGACAGGGATGGCGGTATGTGGAACTCAGTGTTACTCGATCATCCTGGCACTCTGGGCTATGGATGCAAATCTGAAGAAGGAAATCGTGGACGATTTGGATCGGTTTGTGCGCAGAAGATTTTATTACTATCAGGGAAGTTGGGAAGGCTTGGAATTTTTTTTCTGTTTGACTCTCTTGGGACGAGGAGATCATCCTTGGTTGTTGTAATGGTTAATTACATGCAATTTGACATTTATACTCCCTCTGTCCCGTTGGAATGTTCCCACTTTCCTTTTTTAGATGTCCCAATGGAAAGTTCTCATTTCCCTAAATGGAAAGTTATCCTACATCAAAACAGTGTCAAACAGTGCAAAACAGTGTCAAACAGTGTCAAACAGTGTCCAAACAGTGTCCAAACAGTAAAATTTACCCCTGATAAGTTTATTTCCTTAATATGTGCGTAGGTCAAACCGGGAACATTCCAACGGGACGGAGGGAGTATATGATTTGGTGTTGACCGATATCCCTTTATATTTGCGGAAGTTCACTCCGGCAGATTGAGGCGGAAAAATGAAAGAAAGGGGAAGAAGGTCTGGTGGGAAGGGGAATAAGGTCTAGTGGGAAGAAGAAAGACTAGAAAGGTCGTATGGAGGAAGAAGAAAGAGGGGCTCGGTTAAAGAAAGAGAAGGGAAAAAAGTAATTAAAGAAAAAGTAAAAAGTGACAGCAGGATTGCCACATTAGAAACGCCACCGGTTAACCGAACATAAACCGAGTAAATTAGAAATTTAATTGAGTGTTCTTTTAGTTAGAGGACTTAATTGACTTTTTGAATATACTTGGAGGGCTAATTTGACAGTTTTCCCAACAGATTTTCATTACACCTTTTAAGCTCGTCCAAAAATTGTCACTCATATGTTAAAGCATCCCATCGATCTCGAAAAATCAATTTTTTTGTGATTTATTCTTTTTATTTATTTCCACTCTTGATCATCATTTGCAAATAATCTATTTTTTCTTGGTCCTGCACTAGCCAATTATATAATTACTACGTTGATTTTTCAAAGTTCTATTCTGAATTATTTTAACAAATAATTACCCTTTTTAAAAACATCCTTAGGCTTTTAAACATTTTGAAGAATCGACAGGGTATATGGACTGTAGAGTGTTTTGAAAGAGCACATTGTCTAGTCTCTATAAACCGAGTATAAATTTTGAAATAGGGACAGCCGGGTGTGGCATCAATGGGTCTATAGGACAAGCAACTGAAGCAATGAGTCAGTCATAAAAAAACACTGAACAACTCCGTTAATTTTTTATCGCTGATAGATACGCTATATTTAACATACCACACACATGACTAGCATCTTCAGCTACTCGTTAAGATACACTCCTAAGCTGAAAACAGATCAACCAATACCGCATAAACCACATCATATACATTCATCAACTTGGTCACCAGGAAGAAGACTCATTAAACATTTCGCATTCCACTCATAGCTTTGAGATTCTTCTGCATTTCCAGGCGCGATGAAATATCAGCACACTTCTTTCTTGTATCATCCAGCTCCCTCTCTAATTCTTCAATCTATTCCATCCTCGCAAAATAAGTAGATGAACTTTGAAAGTATTCTTTAGTAATCAAAGCACATAGAGAAATTCATAACCAACCAGGTCCAAAGAAAAAAGCAGATGTGTCAAAAACACACTCTGCAAGGTTACTCACCGTTTGCTTCAATTCATTTTCTTTTTGTATATAAGCTTCACATCTGTAGATATGTAGAATCAGTCAGTTACAATAAGTCTGGTGTAGAAAGAGCACTGCAAAGGTCCACCAATAAATCCTAAAATAAAAAACATTTGCCTCATAAAGAGCTGGATGTTCTCCTCGGATATCATATCAGCTGATCTGTCATCAACAAGACTATTAACTGGCTGATGTTCAGTGGTTGGCAACTGCATTTGTGAATTCACAACTCTAACTTGCGGTTGGGCAGTAGCTTCTCTTGGCACACTAGGCACACCAGGGGGCTTGTGCCCTACCAAGTGACAACAAGATTTCCTGCATCGAGAACTCCATGGAAGTTATTTCACTATTAAAAAAAGGGCAGCCCGGTGCTCGAAGGCATCCCCGCAAGGCGATGGTCCGGGAAAGGGTCCCAGCACAAGGGTGTATAAAGAGCAATTCTTTCCCTATCAAATTTTGACAAGAGGCTGTTACCAAGACTTGATCATGAGACCTCTTGGTCACACAACAAAACCTTAACCGGTGCGTCAAGGTTTCGCTTTCTAAAGTTATTTCACTATGCATTGGATTATTAGATTTGATTCGTTTCCCAAGGGTTAAGGGCTTACAACAACAACAACAAGTCAACAACAACAACAACATTCAAGCCTTAGTCCTAAAAGATTTTGGGGTCGGCTAATACGAATCGATACATGATATCAGAGCCAAAAGGAAAAGAAAAAGATAAGATAAAAGAAATTGATAAGGTATGGTAACAAAAGATAAAGAAAATACAATATAGATAAACATAAATATAAGATAGAGATAAAAGTGATAAAAATAAGGAAAAATTGACAAGAATAATCCCACCTTTGCACCCAATCTTCTTTCATTGGACCCTGACCAAGTTTTTACCTTTATTTGAAAATCTTATATAAATAATATCACTACTATAAAGATATAATAGAAAAGTGAAAGGTGAGATTATTTATATGATTTTCAAAAAAAGAGTAAAAAACATGGTCAGGGTCCAATGAAAGAAAATGGGGTGCAAAGGTGGGATTATTCTAGGATTATCCAAAGGTGGGATTATTATGAGAAGACCAGCGAAAGGTGGGATTATTTTTGTCAATTTTTCCTAAAAATAAAAAGGGAAATTATATATATAATAAAAATTGATATAAGGATAAAAACATAAGAAAGATAAAAAAGATAAAAATATTAAAAAATATAATAAATGATCAATCCGCCCTCCACTTTGCACTCTCCAAAGACATACGCAGATACGCTCACGGTTCATCTAACCCTAACATGTCTTAGATTGCATTCACTAACTAAACAGCCTTTACATTTTAAAAATTGTTGGTACAAATCAGACAATAGCTCTTAGGGTTTAGGGATTAGGGTTTATGATTTAGGATTTAGGGTGTAGGGTTTCGGTTTAGGGGTTAGGCTTCAGGGTCGGGGGTAAGGGATTTATCCATTTAGGATTAGGGTCCAATGGTTCTCCTACCGTTTTTCTTTCGGTTCTGAAGCTCTTGGGAAGAATTCCACTCAACACGTGTGGGTGCCAATGCACCGACCAGCGTTTGGCAAAAAAAATGAGTATGGCATCTTAGCCCCATATGTACTCCGTCCACTACGCATTCCTTCTGATGGAAACCCTAGTAGTATTGGGCTTAGCCCATTTTGTATATCTTTGTATACAAAACATAGTGTTCTAAATATAGCTTCTTATATAGCATTTGATAACAAGAATAATATATACAACAATATATATATATGGCAAACCGTAGTTAGAATGCTGGTTTACGCCATGAACAGTAGCCACAATTGGCATTGGAGCACTTCAGATATATCAAACCTTGTTTGGAGTACTAGATATTCTATACACATGTATTCCTTTATAATATTGTGTAACTACAGTCTGTTAGGCTTCGGTTAGACTAGCTGTTAGTTAAACCACCAACTGTATAAATACTTCGTAATCTTCCAATTCTCATTAAGATGATTTCATTTCCATCTTTTATTCTACCTTCATTCTAATATGGTATCAGAGCTTTGCTCGATCAACCATGACGAATTCTTCATCCGATTCTTCCTCGCAATCATCTTCTCACGCTGCCTCGCAAAATTCTCCTGTAATTTCTCACCATGTAATTTCTCACCATTCTCTACCTGTTAAACTTGATTCCAACCATTTCCTGCACTGGCGACATCATGTTCAATCTGTTGTACGTGCTCACAAACTTCTCAAGTTCATAGAGAATCCTCAAATACCAGATCGATTCGCAGTTGACGAAAATGGAGGAAAGACAATCAACGAAGCATACAATATCTGGGAGCAACAAGATCAAATGTTGCTTTCCTGGCTCCTAGCCTCGCTTTCTGAATCGCTTCATGCTTGCGTCATCAATTGCAAGCATTCACATGAGCTTTGGAGTGAAATTCAGAAATTCTTCCGATCAAGTATTATCGCAAGAGCTCGTCAACGGAAATCGGAACTCTATAACACCGGAAAAGGTGATCGCTCAATCTCTGATTATTTGCTTCGTATCCCGACAATAGTTGATAACCTAATGTCTGTCGGTGAGCCTATATCAACCAATGATCAACCCAGGTCTTCCTGAGGATTACGAAACACTAATATCATCCTGCTTCGTATCATGAAGAGGTTTACATGACACGACCTCCTGGTTTTCAGCATCAGGACACTTCACTTGTTTGCAGACTACACAAATCTTTGCATGGTCTCAAACAAGCTCCCAAGGCATGGTTTCAGAAACTCACTTCAGTTTTATACAGTGCTGGGTTTAAACAAAGCAAGCGTGACCAGAAGCTGGACTTGGGAGACAGCTTGCTAGGTAGGTACATGAGTAGAGAAGGGTCACGCTTGCTTTGTTTCCCAGAGAAGGGTCACGCTTGCTTTGTCTGAATCCGTTGAATGATAGTGGAGTTGTTCCCAATGACCAGAAGCTGGACTCTTCATTTTCTCTCAAACATCTGGGAGACATAGATTTCTTTCTAGGCATTGAGGTTAGAAAGCTTCCTGATGGCTGTCTACACTTATCCCAAGCAAAGTATATCAGGGATCTCTTATACCAAGCTGGAATGTCAGATTTCAAGGGTGTGAAAACACCCATGGTGAGTAGCTCTAAACTTACCATTGAAGGGAATGATTTTCTTCCTGATCCCTCTCACTATAGATCTATTGTCGGAACCCTGCAGTATGCTACCCTAACTAGACCAGAACTAACTTAGTTATTCTGTGAATAAAGTGTGTCAGTTTATGGGTGCACCTTTACAAGAGCACTGGAAGGCTATGAAACACATACTCAGATATCTATCTGGTACTATTACTTATGGACTGATTATCAAACCTCTTCATTTATCCACTACACCTCTACCTATCTCAACCTTCTGTGATGTTGATTGGGCATCAGATCCTACAGACAGGAAATCTACATCAGGGTCATGCATCTTTCTAGGCCCCAACATCATTTCTTGGTGGTCAAGGAAACAACTAAGGGTAGCCAGATCCTCAGCAAAAGCCGAGTACAGAAGCCTAGCAGACACTTCAACAGAAATTTTATGGGTTCAATTTCTGCTTACAGAACTAAGAACTTCAAGCTCCTTTTCTCACTCATAGAATCTACTGTGACAACCTCAGTACAGTTCATCTTGCCCATAATCCTGTACTCCATTCTCGCATTAAGCATACGGAGATTGACCTTTACTTTGTCAGAGAGAAAGTAAAACTCAAGCAGCTTGAAGTCTTTCACATCCCAGCTCCTCAACAAATTGCAGATGTGCTGACCAAGCCTCTATCTGCATCCACCTTTCTTGAATTTCGAGACAAACTAAGTGTGATTGAATTTTCATAACAATCATCCTCAGTTTGAGGGGGGAATGTTAGGAGTACTAGATATTCTCTACACATGTATTCCTTTATAATATTGTGTAACTACAGTCTGTTAGGCATCGGTTAGACTAGCTGTTAGTTAGTTAAACCACCAATTGTATGAATACTTTGTAATCTTCCTATTCTCATTAAGATGATTTCATTTCCATCTTCTATTCTGCCTTCATTCTAATACATCCTACTGCCTTGCTAAGCACACCATCGCGACCAACCGCCGGAAACAGTACCGGCACAAAAGCTCTCACGTGCCTCCACGCGGCACCACCTCTACCCACGGCTCACTGGCCTGTTTTGCAGATCTACTCCGTTCTACTCATTTGGAGCTTACACGGCCGACACTGAAGATCTGTGATTTCTGGGGACCAAAACAATATAAACCACGCACTCATCAGACGACCCACGTGCTGCTGCAGCTTGATCGCGCTGTCACCGTCGCTCTATCCGACGGCCACTGCCTACCTATTACATCGAAGACAGGTGTGTGTACTGGCCCCCGGCTGTCTATTACGCTGCTACTGTCGTGACTGGTTTGCTACTGCCTGCTGCTCTCTACCTTTCAATTATTTGCAGACGGCTGCTGCTTTGATCCCTCAGCAGGTTTTTATTTTTAATTTCTTTTGCTAATATTTACTTTTCACTCTTCTAAAAAAATTAAAAAAGTAGAAAAATTCCCACTGGTTTTTTAGCCAATGCCCACTGCTTCACTACCGCATACCAAGGTATGGGGCTCGACAGAGGAAACCACGAAAGATACCCGAGGCGAAATCGTGTTCGGTGTGACTTCTGTCATAAAAGTGGTCATAAAATAACAGATGTTGGATGTTACATGGGAGACCTCCCAGCTCAGCGAATGTTGCTCAGATTCCGCCATATTCAGATGTTTTACCTCCAGCCGAATATGCAGGCTGCAGCATATCAGAAACTTAAGTCGATTAATATAGCTTGTTTACACTTCGTACGTCTATTGATTGTGTTTCAAACACCACGGGCTCATGGATCATTGGCTTAGGTGCCTCAGACCATATTTCTGGTAATCCATATCTTTTATCCCGTATTACCAAGCACCAACACCTTCCTTTAATTACTCTCGCTAATGGCCTTCAAACTTCGGCCATAGGTATTGGGAAAGCACTCCTACTTTCATCCTTATCATTAGACTAAGTTTTATATGTTCCTAATAGCCTTTTTAATCTTGCCTTTGTTAGCAAAATCATGCATGCTCTTAATTGTTTTATAACCTTTTCTGCTGATTGTGTGACTATGCAGGATCGTTGTACGGGGAAGACGATTGGCGTCGGGCATGAATCTCTTGTATTATCTCCATCCTCCTGATCCAATCGTTTGTGTCTCGGGTGAACTTGCACTTACCTTACATAACCGTCTGGGTCATCCTAGCCTCTTAAAGTTTCAGCGT